TAGTAAATAAACGAAGTCCAAACATTTAAACCAAAATTACGTCAGTAGGAGGTAATTAATTCTCTTTTTTATACCAGAACAAAAAAAATGAGGCGAAAGAGTTAAAAAAAGTCGATTAATCAAATAATGATCAAACTTTTTAAAGTTTCAAAGTCCGGAACATCGTTTTAATGAGCTGTGCACATTGCAATGCTTCCTATTCAACTTGCAACGGAAATCAAACAAGAGGTGCAACCAAGCATCACGGCCTTACAACTAGCTGAATCTTATGGTGGAGAACCAATTAGTATTAAATAAAACGCATAGTTTTATGAGTTATTGTTTCAAATATTATAAATGTACTATAAGTTTTGCACTCACATCAGTATAAAATTTCTTGTAATTTTATTTCTTTACACTATGCAAATGACAGACATTAAAATTCACTTCTGCGAAGAATCGTGGAAGACAGCCAGCCTTAGCCGTCAATCAGTAACAAATCAATTTGGATATGAAAGACTGCCGTTTATTCAATTTTTTTCTTTTATTTTTTTATTTATATTTATATTTATAAGCACTTATCAAACTTATAGGGCCATCCCGATTTGACATGAAATAAAAATTCGATTATTAGATGTTTAATTCACGTTTAAAGCCCCGTCCCCGGATACAAACTTGACAAAATCAAAATCCAATTCATTGTCAATAGGGTAGTTTCAGTAGTGTAAAATAAGTCACTTAAATTTACATCATACAATATTAAGATTTTTTAAATTATAATATTCTGATTTTGAGTTTTAAAATAGCAAAATTATCTTATTATAGTTATATTAAAAGTCGTTTCAAGTCATCTTTGTCTGTGTGTCAAGCGACTTCAAACACGACCCGCCATTGTGTGACGCCACTGTGGCGACAGCTGTCAGATTAGTTATAAATCGAGTGCCGAGATGGCGCTGCTCTTAGCTCATTTATATCTTTTTATTTCGAAATCGATCGTTACATCTGTTTTATGCATAGAATTAAGGAATGTGTACATATCAATGACATCATGAATATGGTGGACAGCGTTTTCGCGGGCATAAAAAGTTTAAAATTTGATTTAATTTTAAAGCAATAAAACGTGTTTTTTTTTTCGAAATATAAGTATTATTTCAAACAGAGTAGAATACCCTATTTCTTCAATTTTATTAACAATAACTAATAAAACATACAAAACACTTTTAATGTTAAAAAATAACCAAAGAAGAAATGCACCTAGAATAGGAGCTCGATATCGCAAGGGTTAGTGCGCTCGGTCTGTGATACCAACTGTATCATAACTTCCGCAATGGCCGGTCATAAGAAGGGTGAGCAAAACTTTATCATATCGAGCTTCTCCGTGCTTCTGAAGGCACGTTAAGCCGTTGGTCCAGGCTGCATCTGCAGTCGTTAACACCCATAAATCCGCACTAGGTCCGCCTGCGAGATCATGACCCATTCTTCCTTTTCGATTTGATTCGATTCCATCCACGAAAGGCCTGAGCCCCAGCAGTGGGGAAATTAACAGGCTGGTGATGATGATGATGTACAATGAAAAGACATCAGACAAATAATGAATACCTAAATACAATTATTTTATAGCCCAATATTGCTGCTAGTTATCTGCTCTTACCTCATATTATGAATCATGAACTGTGTGTCTAATTAAAGTGAGCATGTTTGTTCACATCATAAAAAAGGAATTTAGTGCCACTGGCTATGTCTGTCTAATTGTAATCCTCAAACACTTCTGCAGTATCTCTATAAGCATACCTAGATGCTTGATTTTAATATGTGGCTTGAAAATATGAGGTTTGCCTTGTTATGAAAATGACAAGACCTGATCATATTACAAGAAATCTAAAAGAGGGCAACCAAAGCCTTAATTCTTAAGCTTCTGAATGGGCATCCATTTTAAAAGACAATGATACACGGGTACCTGGTTTGATTTATAAAGATTTATATATGAATTGAACAACTGCATTAACTAGATGTTTCAAATCCTAGATGTTTGAGTCTCCCAATTCAGGTCAGGATCAATATTTAATCCCAAGTCCCACATCAAGGTATGAAAATATAAAAAATATCTTTATACAAATAACCTTATTCAAATTCTTTTCAAACTAACCAAACATTATTTAAATAATCTCATAAAGCAAAGCTATATAGAAACAACCAGCATCTTCAAGCAAAAGCATACATTCACTTCTTTTCACATGATGTAATTTCTTTGGTTGCACAAACTAGACTAAAGTCAATTTTAATCCTATAACATTCCATTTCTAATTATATAAATAACTTAGACAACAAAAGTAAACTTCTTAAATTATAGAGAGAGTGTAATTATATCTCTGACTTATGTGGTATGTGTGGTAAGACACACATTGTATAGTCATGTGTGTTTAGGTTAATAATAATCATAAAAAAGTATTAAAAAATATATTTAGTTTAGAGTGATACAAAAAAATTGCAACCATGAACTGTAATTTCATTACAGCTGATATTGCTCACTGCATTTTTAAACAGTCAGTTTCTGTGAATATGTTAAATATATTGCTTCATTAATATCTGCAATATTGGCCAAGTTATATCAGCCTTACTTAACCATAATTAAATTAACCATGAAAGTTAAAGTTGATTTATGAAATTCAATAATAACAGAGTGACTTTATAAGTGTTGACATTTTATAAGACAGAAAACATAGTGACATTCTTCATACATTCAAATCAGAAAGGTTTTCAAACAACAATGGTTTTCCAACACAAACAACAAAAATATGTTCCACTGAGAAAAAATCTTCATAAATAAAGCTATATTCCCAACAATAAAGAAATATTTATCAAGTGATTGATAAAAATATAAAATCCAGATAGCAATATATACAACAGATAAGCTATTTTACTCCAAATTGTATTTGTATTAACAGGAAAAGTGGGCAACAAGCAATCAAACTAAACACACGACATACTGTTGCCACCTGAAACTGCTGCTGGAATAGAAGGACCCATAATGAGGGTTCATATTTATCAACATAATTATATTTTTGTATAAATATCCGTAGGTTACCGTCAATTTTTTTTTTACACAGACATGAGTAAACTTTGTTCTTTTTGATTTAAATGATTAAAATTATTTAAACAAAAAATGAACTTTCACAGTTTAAACAAACAGGGAAATGATAATATGAATAAATTAGAAAAAAACAATTAAAAACTGAGTTTTTTTTTGTTTTAGTGAAACAAAAACTCTATCCTAGACAATTTTCTCTATCAGAAAGTCCATATTTTATAGTTGTTTAAAAATTATTCCCTTTTCATAAGTAATCCTAAAATACAAAAAGAGTTGGTATAGTGTTTTATAATTAACAAGGTATATTTTCCAAGATCATCATCATCATCGTGAAAATTATTGTGATAATTATCGCTCTGAACCCTGCTTGTGATGAAGAAATTCAAAAGAAATTCAAAAATTATTTGTTTAGTTTAAACAATTAATTTATGAAATTTCAAGGACTGAGAGTTTAAACACCACATTAGTTTATATAGTTATCATTTCTTATGAATCATCATCAAGTAAATGATGAGTACACTTTTATTAGAATACGAGTTGACAAACTATCACTGAGGATGTTGACCAACTAACAAAATAAATGCATCATTCCGTTGGTGCTTAAAGTGTCAACTTCTGTGCAGTCACTAAAGTTCAACTCAATAAAGATTCGGAAAAAAGTGCAATTTCTAATTTAGTATTCTATGAATGAATTTATGATAATTTTATTTGCAATAAATACAGCAAAACATGCTATATACACATTGAAATATAAAAACAAAAAAAAATTAAACAATCGATTAAAGCACACACAGGGCCACATGTATGCTGGGACGATGCAAAAAGGGCAAAAGCTCGGCAATATGTTTGCTTGAAAAGCTAACTGCTGAATTTCAGCTTTGACTTAAGTTTAGATTAGTGCGGAACCAAAATGAACTTTCACAGTTTAAACTAATGTGTGAAATCATAAAAGCATATCATTAAATTCATATTAAATAAAAAAAATTAAAGAAAAGCATATAAAATAAGTGAATAAATATAAATTAAAATACATTTAAATATAAAATTATTCTAGTAACTCATATGGCAAACGAAACAATATTAAATAGGATTCAACTACTTCTTTAGGTCGATATGAAGTTGTATGTACTAATTATTTATCAGACATACTTCCTGAACTCTAAAAAGTGGCACATTGATAACACTGGTAGTAGACATTTGTACATCTTTAACTATTAAACAATCAAAACTGTTTCAAGAGACCAATTTAAATAAATCAACATCTAATTTAGTACATTTCTTCTATTGCAAGGATCATGTAAATAATCAAGACTGAATAGGCAAGTAATATTTACTGTTTATAAGTGAATTGAGCTAAGCATCATGTTTGATAATATAAAGTTATGGTTGGATTAAAAAAATTAAAGTTGAACTACATAAAAAATATGATCACCATTTTGGCACTCTGCACCTTCACTAAATTGGGTCACAATATTGAGGGTCATTGTATCAAATACCACAAACTAACTGCTATTTCATCCTCAAGTTGATAGACTATTTCTCTTTTCATTCTAATAAGCAATAATATCATGATATCATTCAGTCTTTTTTAATTTTCACTGTCAAAAATAGTGTACAATAGTCAGATCCATCAAATAAGTATAATTTAATATTACCAAGTTACTTTGAGAAGGATCTCCTCACAAAGTTAACTTATTTGTAGTATTACAAGTAATGAACTGTATATTTCAGTGAAACATTTATATCAAACAAGTTTGATGTGGTAAAAAGTAAAATTGTAGCTAATGAGAATACTGTAACAATGTATACAGATAAGTACAGATAAAATATCTCAAATAAAAATTGCATTTGTTATGTTGTATTGTAAAATATCAATGTACTAGATTGCCTCATTACACTGTGATTTGGCTGAGACAGAACATGAGATACTAACCTGATGGAGAGCGGTAAGGCCGTCCACGTTTGCTGTGTTGATGTCTGCGCCCATCTTCAACAGGCGCAGCACCTCGTCTTTGTCCCCAGCAGTACATGCCGCCAGGAAGACTATCCCTGATGAGAACTGAATTCTTGAGGCGCGTTTTGGTGTCGGTGACTGTTTGTTGGTGTCGGATTCCTCCCATCGCTTGAGCTGCTCAGCCCGCTTGAACAACGCCGACGACGAACGCGTATCCGTCATTTTATCTCGAGTCAAACCACTTGGCACTCAATATGGCTCTTGTGAACACTTCACGGGTCATAGATTAAGTTTTTATTACATACAGTACACAAACGCAGAGTCCATAACTTAATTGCCAAAAAAGGAAACATGAAAGAGGAAACTATCCAGGGTGACAATGATTACGCTACTTTCATGCGGTCATTATTCGAAACACTTGTTGAATTATTCGGATTGAACATACGAACTTTTGATTTTATATACATGACATAACCAATAAGCTAGGTACACTTTTAGCGTGGCAGCCATTACAAGAATATTAAAATGTACTCTGTGCTGTGCGGCAGCTTAACTAAAGTGATGTGAGATCGGTCACTGTCAATAGATCGCTAGATGATTATCGATAATAATGTACACAAATATAGTTAACCTACCAATACATATAGAAAAAGAGAATAGACCAAACAATAATATAATTTAAAGTTTTAAAGAAATTTTATTTAAGGATTGTTTAATTTTGGTAATGATATTTATTATTTATTTAATTTATTTTACATTACCTATAATAGTTGTATGGGCGGTTTGTATCAAAATTACTTTTGATGTATTTCGTTGAAGTTGTCTTTACAATTACAATAACTATGCAAAAGTTTTATCGCCACCACGTATATGTAAAACGAATAAAACAGATTTTCTTTCAAATCTATGTTGCAATAGTAACTGAACAAACCTAAACTATTTATAGAAAATTAGAAATGAATATTGAGATTCCACAATATTTGCTAATATGTTTTGAATAAAACGCAGAAACAGAGTATGAAGTAGTATCATTATGAGCTGGGCTTATATTGTAACACAAGCAAATTAATTTAATATCTACTAAGTGAATTATCTTATGTTCAAACAGTTGAATTTTATTTAAAATAATAATAAATTCTGCTATGAGTATTCAAAGTTAAATTTAACAATATAATCGATATTTAAACATCACTAAAAGAAAGAAAGGCGACGTGAATGACATTACAAGTTTATAATGTACCTAGGCAAAAGTACATAGATTGAACAGCCAATTTTTTATAAATACAATGACCATAGACAAAATATTAACTCACTGGCAATGACCAAATATGCTTTAGCTCAGATGAAATATCTAATAAATCTATGTGCTTTAGATATTTATTTAAGGGTTTTAAATATTTAAATGGATAACTAAACTTCTTGGTTTGCATTGTAGTTTGTAATCATAGACATTCGAGCAGTTTTAATATTCTTTATTTGTAAACCGCTAAGAAGTAAGAGCCTTATTATAAATACTCGATACACGGCTGAACAAACTAAGCGTGTATTCTACACAATGCGTTACACCTACCTTAGATATATCGCATTCCGTATAATATATATTATAAATATAAGTTTTTTTTGGAATAGAATAAATTTGTATTTAAAATTATTAAATCTATATTCCATAGAAGTAATAATTATTTTGATACAAATTTTGTTCAATGATTTGAATAAAATTTGATAATTTGATCGAAGATCACAGTTAAATCTATAAGCTGTAACTTAATTGCTTAAAGCTATTTTCGAAGTTATTTAGTTTACAATAAGATTTCTTTTTTATAACAAATTAATAATATTTCAACTTTAAGAAACTGCTAGAATTATGGCAGAAATAATGCAACCCAGTGTCACACAAAATAGGCAAAGTGTGTCGAGTTGCGAAAAAAGCCCTCCGTGAAACATAACATATAACATAACATAATTGCTAGAATTAAGAGATAAAATTCTAATTTTATATTCTTGAAATATGAAATAGAATGTTATTTGTTTAGACCTTAGCTTAATCCAATAGCATAAAAAAGTGCCGTCACATATTCAATAAAAATCTTTCAATAAAAGTCGAAACGAAGTTGTTACAAACTACGCAAATAGTTACTCTGCACTATCCAATAAATCAAAATTTAAATAATCATTCTTCTTCTATCTTAATAATTAAAAATTCAAACTGATAACCACTTAAAAGAATGAATTTAGAATATGTAGCAAATCTCTATCTAAGGATCAGTTTTTTGATCCGTGGTTAACTCAACCATTTGTAAACCATTTGTAAATCTTTGACAAATGGTTAAATATGAGAAAAATATGTTTTTTGATTAATAGTTAGCCTTGAAGCACTACCTCCGTTGGGCGGACAGTCCGTGTACCGTCTCGTTATATTTAATATATTATCTGTGTAAAAGTGCAGAACTCATTCTTGACCTTTTTTCTAATTTATTTATTATGAAGTCTATTGTATTTGGTTTTGTCTTTTAACCGCCATGAAAAGAATTTAAATATATTTTACAAGCTTGTGTGAAGATTACAGTTTAGTTATTTTGATTGTATTTCAGTTTAATTAAACAATTTATAATAGCGTGTTTTTTGTGCCAAGGGCCATTATCAGACTCGCACTATAGCCTAACCAATTGTCAGAATTACAACCATTTGTCAAAAAATTTAACCATCACTGGAAGCTAGGTTAAGTAAATGACCAATGGTTAAGAACAGATGTACAACTGCGTTGTATTTAGTTGGTCCCTTGTTATTGTTTTTTTACGTTGTTTTTATAACCTACATGATTTCATAGTGAATTTGGACATTAGCTATTTTTGGGATTTCGTTTTATGATGCAATTTCATAGAAAAATATTTATTCTCATTTTTGTTATTGAAAATATGTTATATTTTTATCTTGATCATCCTTAGTACATTTGTACTATATAAAATACTTTTTCTTGTTTCCACGGGCATATGCCAAATTATTAAAAATCTTATAAAATCCACGAACAGACACAACAAAAGGTAAATATGCCTACAGTACATAAAATACATAGGCCTCGATTTATTTTGCAAAATTACAATCCCACCTTGGATACTAGATACTATATTCTTTTCACGTATTTCTCTATAAGATAAATGAAAAACAAATATATGCTTTTTATAAAAAAGTTAAGTTTAAAATAACTGGAAAAAAAAAATTTGTTGCTTTGTAACATTATAAAAGAAATTGCCTTATATTTCCTGAAAAATAACACATAGTGAACTCAACAGAACAACCATAAACATCCACACTGTTTGATAATCTATAGATTTCTTTCGTTTATTTGATATTTTGAACAAAATCCTAATGTCATAAATGGTATATAGTTCGCTCCTTCATATGGCTTCGTATGGTATATAGTTTAAATGAATTAAACCGTTAGTGTTGTCACCTAGTTGTCCAGACCAAATTGGCCAGTGGTTAAATTTGGCCATGATTTAATTTGGCATCAAAAAACGAAATAGCGAGTTAACAACTTGTTAATGTTTTAACTATAGTCAAGTTAACAAATGGTGAAATGACATTTGACTACGGATCAAAAAACTGGCCCGTCAATTTACCTAGAAGAACAGAAACTCTGAACGCCAAATTCATATCATAACATATAAACATTTGCATTATTAGAGACTAGAGTTTAAATTTATTGATACAGATAAAATTTGTTAGCGATTTTATATTGGGACGTTCGATCAATATTACAAATTAGGACCTCGTGGTTAGTGGCATATCTGAAGGTTAGACCTCTCAAAAGGCTTGTGGAATATTTGGCCAATTGAAAAAATATTGTCATGTGACACTTCACTTACAGAGAAAGCTAACCCGAACTTTAATTTATAAATAAATAAATTACATCAAATAGTTTCACACTTACTAAGAATGCTTTAAAATAAACGAAATTATCTGTCACGATACGATGTGGCACGTGCAAAGTTGTCCTTAGCCCTTAGCATCGAATTACCTAGTTGCAATTCGTGACGCCGACACTGATTTTGATGTCTCGTTTGACAATTGGGAAAATACCAAGTGGCATTAGCCATTCAAAGATAAGAAGCAGAATAATTGAAATGTTGTGATGGAGTAAGGGACCAAAAGGATATCTCTGTTAACTCTGATAGCGAATAATATACCTTATATCATCCATCACCAGATAATAGAAATATAATTCAGAAACGTATTTTTTTTTACTTCAATTTAAAAAGAAATGGCTTAGATAATAGGCATTCCAGTTCAGGTATGGGGAAAGAAATATAGTAAGGTGCGAATATTCGTCTCAAGTATCGTCATAATTTATTGATTAAGCCCAAAAAAACGGATTTAATGTTTTCAATATTATACCTGACAAAAAATATTCGACTTATAAACTAATGAAAATAAACACAGAAATTGTCAAATTGTCTCCACTACGCATGTGGAGTTTTTAATTTGATCACTGCCCTATACACCAATGTAAATTAGCACAGAAATCATCAGCACCCTGCATGCGGGCCTTATCGACATTTTAGGTACACAAAATTATCTTTATGACATTGTGCATGCAACATTTCAATTTATTTATTACGCATTAAATTTAAATACTTGTTTAACATTCATACGAGTATTATCTCTGTTGTTATTAAGTCAAGGGAAAACTTCATGAAAATGTTATTGTCGCCATATAAGAAAGAGACAAATAGCCTCTGTACTTGATATCTCACTTAGGTCTCTTTTCTGCTGCGAGTGCTTGGTCCTGTTATATCCATTGGACGTCTGTTGTAAATTTTCACAAATTCATAAACATATTAATGCTTTCAATATGATTTGCTCAAGCTGCAAAAATACTTATTTAAATACATATTCATTCAAGAACTTTCCGTAAAATGAAGTAAGCAGATAAAAGTAGCTTTTGCATCATACCCAATATTTTATGCTCCAATAGAACTCGGCCATTTTCTTCTTTTTGTTTCATTTTTTGGTTATCTAAAATTGGTTATTAAAAGCAACTGTTAAAACAAAACTAGCGAGAATTACATCCAAATTTGCTGTACCCGACGGGATCTATAATGATACTTTTGTTTTTATGAACATCTTAATACTACATTGTGGAATGCAATTAAAATAAATAAGTAAAAATAAATAAAATGAGATCTTGCTAGTTTACAATGAGGAAGTATTTAAAGAAAAAGCACCACAAAAGCACCTCTCTTGATGGCGACTCTAGCAAAAGTTGATTTTTGCAGGAAACGAATTGAACAAAGATAATTATTTCTCTTCCTTTAAGTAACATATTAAAAAAACTGAGATTTGCAAAGTTCGAAACTTAGATATCAATACAAATACGAAAAATAACAAATAGAATATTAATTGTTTATTGAGTTTTGAAATATAATTTTCTTTTATATATTAAAGAAAACCGGACGGAGAAATCATGAAAGTACCGTAGCGACATCTAGATTGATTTTGGGGACTAATGTTTTTAAACTTTCTCATTGGTGGAGAGGTTATACGAACGCAATATGTCATGACGCCTCGTAAAAAATTTGGAACTATGAAACTAGTGCCACCTTTATTTAATATAGAAAAATCTCAGTAGTTGAAAAGAGACAATATGCTTTTTAGATGTCAACTTCCGATGGCAAAATATTTGTATAACCCAAAAGTTGCTATATGTCAATAATTCGCCTTTTCTAATCTCTATGACTATCAACCAAAAAATATCGATACGTAGGAAACGAAGTTGTGCGTACATTGTGGTCTATTTGAAATTGCTCTTTGGTGTGTCTTTCTAGGAACAAGAATCTTTAGTTGATGGAGACAGCGGCCTCTAGGGAGTGCAAGTGACAAACAATAGTTTGCCTTCGGGAACTGGAACTGGAATAGAAACCACAGAACAGAAACCTACAGAAACTATTCAAAATTCAAGATGGCTATGTGTCACGATGGTATCTTGAACGGTTGTCGTTAACTTTATTTGTTTTGTGAGAAAGAAAGTGTTTTTTTCCGCAATGGCTGACTTAAGTGTTGATATATCTAAGTTACCGGACGAGATAAAAGATAAACTAGCTGAGTTGGACTTGGAGTTGTCTGAAGGTAAGACTGCAGCAGGTCTGCGTTTCTTTAGATCGATAATTTGTAATTTTGTTATTTCTGTACAAAATAGGCTTACCTCGTGTATAGTTTTATTCGATCGTATAATTCATTGTGTGCTATTATTTTAAGTAAACATTTTCGATTATTTCCCAGTATTGACGTAATCACTGACAGCTGATGTGATGTTTTCTATGTAAATAGACGAAAGGTACATACGGTGTACCTACATAACTAAAGATGCTGTTCCTGTTTTTTAGGCTTCTTTCTTTTTGTGTTGATAATATCGTTCTACATGCTCACGCTCGACTGATATATTGTTACACTTGGGTTGTTGCGGAATGCATTTACTATAACAACAAAAACGCCCCTTGCCGAGTGTTAATTCTTAAATCAAAAACTGTTATGGCCTAACCCTTGATGTGTCATACGAATATTTATCTAGATTTAGATACCTAGTGTGTTCGATTCCTTGTCGAAAGCTTACTAATCGTAATGACACTAATAGCTATATATGTGTGTTCGTGTTATATACACGCACGTATTCAGAACCGTGGTATCAACTAACAAACGAGTCATTGGCAGTGCCAGTTCTTTGTTGATGATTCAACCACTTTTGGGTACTAGTGGTCAACTTGAAGGCATACATAAATTGCTCACATCCTTTATACTTCTCTGCTTGTAAATTTGCAGGTTTTTTGTACTATTTTGTTGGATGTGACATTAAACTTTAAGTCAAAGCTTGTTTTGTTTATTGATGACTATGATGATGATGATAGTTTATAATTGATAAACAAGTTTGTTAGTTTCGCAATGGGGTTAGAGTAGGTAATGACATTGTTTTATCAAAATGCTTTATACATTTTTGGTATTTCTTTTTAAGGTAACCATTCCCCATCCTCAATATTATATCTTAACTTTATCAGTATTCAATTAAATCAAAAAATACTTGCCAGTAATCTGGTGAAGAGTAATTGAGATACACAGTATTTTTTCATTTTGTAAAGTTAATTAAGATATGATATGCATTTGTTTAAGCTACTTATATTTAAGAAAATTTACAAAGAATAGACCCTGCAAGGGCTATGGTATGAAAATGTAGATAGATAAATAAAGTAGGTAAATTTAATTGTTCTAAGTTTACCTGTGCCCAGTTGGAAAATTTTTGAGAGTTTGTATGAATAGAATCGCTACCCAAATATTAGGCATAATTTGTATAAATTTTAGTGACTCACAGTCAGTTGCACAAACATCCATTAAGGTTTAATGACGCCTTTAAGCTTTAATGATTGTCAAATTTATATGAGTAATGTCACTTTAAAGTAATGAAAATTTTAATGAATGTTTGTGCAACTCAGTGTTTGTTGTAGTTTTATTCTTATCCTCTTACTCTTTGTTATCTTCAACATCTTTTCTGGTTGAGAAGAAATATTGATTTTTAAACAGATAACAAGTTTATTTTGAACATTAGCATCTAAAAATGTAATTGAATTCTGGATTGATCAAAAAGATTTTATAACTTAATTTATAATATCTTCAGTGAACTTATCAGACATAAATGTGATTCAAGTGATTATACTATTAAGTTCACATAACATAACATCATAGCTTGACAGTCTCCATTACCAAGTGGTTCGTATGCTGGTTTTAAGACATTTCTCTCAGGTCTCAGGTTCTTTCATGGTTGAGAATTACTCCATAATACTGGTTTAGCTACTCACCTTGGAATCTTACTAGTCTGAGTAATCCAAAATATTCTTTTAAGAAAACGAAATTGTTTGCAGTGTTTTTATTCAAATAGCAGTTTTGTTGACAATCCATCTAGTAAGACTTAATTTAGATAAATCATAGTTGGTTGCTAAGCGAATATATGTTATAATTGTTTATAAGAATTTTACTGCTGCTTAAGCGAAAATGCTGTGCATTCAATTGTTTATTACTGCTGTGCTTCAAATATAGTAATTGTGTTTTACCACTATAATCCGTTTTTCTGCAATTATATTTACAATGTAACTACTATAAATTGAGACTGAATTAAGTTGATGAATTTAGTTTTTTAAAAAACAACAATAGTTTTGATGGAATTATGTTTTGATTAATAGGTTGGCGAAAAGTTTATTCGCATTTCATATGAAAATTTAAAACATTTTTCAATAAGTTTATTTACATTTCACTAAAGTATATAGGTACCATATTGTTTGATAACTTTTTGCCATCTTGTAGGTAGAGACATGATTCCATTACTATATAAATTTTGGGGCTTCTGATTAAAATAATGCGACAAATGGTTTTGGAAGTCCTCATGTGATGTTAACCTGACACTACTTTAAGAATTCCGAAGAGACCAAAACAGGTGAAAATATAATGATGCGAGGGTGGGACTATATAGCGGATGCATTAATACCTCCCAGCCAAACTAACTAGGTCCATAAATACCCCATTTTTTTTTCGCGGGATATGTTGCATTTTTATTTTTTTGTAATAAAATTATAAAATGAATCAAATTTCTTCATTACCTTCACTCATCAGACTTTCCCCAATCATCCAAAAATAAATCAGATCCTAGATTTTTATGATCTTATAATGGAATACAATAAAATGTTGTAATTTATCTCTTCTCATCACAAGCTTAGCTATCATACAGCTGATGATGAGAAGCCTGATAATTTTTATACGAACTTCAAGCGAAACTGTATTCAATTCTATGCAGGCTTTTTAAAATCCTATAATTCCAATTACTATTTTCTGATCAGAATTATGGTTGTAAATAAAAGTCTTATCTTATACTGTTGCCAATTTTTAAATACCAACACATATAAATTAATTATATTATCTGCTTAAAATAATAGTTTAGCTGTTGTATTTAACACATATTATAGATCTTAGTTATATGTATTGTGTTTTATCTTTTATATGAAATACTATATACTATAAAATACTCAGTTAATGGTTTTATTAGTAAAACTAATCCTACTTCTATGATTACTACGTTACTCTATCTTTAATCGATTATTCACAGAGATTACTAGTTTCCAATTCTCAATTGTCTAATGTTAAATGTTATTTATAAGTTTTAGTTTTATATTATTGCTATTGTTTAATTATTTTATTTCTATTATTTAAAAAACCTCAAGTAATATAACAAAGAACCCATCATCATCATAAACAGTCTATCAAAACTCTCACTGGTGTGTTACACATATAAGTACATCACTGGCCTGATTGTCTAATTTTGAAATCTATAAGCAATTGCGATCGCGAGGTATTTCTGAAAGATACTGAATGAACGATAATGTTTCTTCGACATTAATCAGAATTTGTCTAAGCAAAGTGATAGGTAGTTAAAAATATATTTGCTAAGCTGTTGGGCAATTTCAGAAGAAACTAATTGTCTATGATATTTATATCGTGCAGAGCATTCGGTCCAAACGCGATTGTGTCTATAAAAGTTACATAATTCCACGGGTGATAAGTAATTCTAAATAAAAAGCAGTGGGTATCGATATTATTTTCTTGATATAATAAAACGAAATATTAAAAGTGCAAAAACTATAAAAAGGTTTTATTATCGTCCTCGTCGGCAACAACGGGACTGTTATCGATTTTAAAATTCAACAATTAGGCCACAGTTTGCCATAAGGAAAATTTCTGCGATTGATTTTGAAGTCTTATCCGAAATGTATTAAGGGTTAAAAATCATAATGGAATGTGTCAGTTTTGAATAACTCTCAAATTTCTTCACTTGTTGCTGTTTTCTGTAAAAATTTATACTTGAGAGAAGTAAATCAAAAGGCGCTTTAACCAACCATGCAGGCCCAACAAGTGATTGGTGGGTGCTCATAACTATAGATAGGTATCTCATACTCTGGTTACTGTCTAAATCATAACTCTTGCTGTCGAATTATGCTGAGGTGTTTTATCACCACTTTTTATAACATTAGTTACTTTTAGTTTTATATTTTATTATAAACCTATAAGTATTGTTAGTAACTAATTATTGACTTAATATCAGGTAGAACTTGACAGTTAAGTTTTAACGTTCTATTCGTTGAATAATAAAAAAATATCATACCTCTCCAACGTATATGAATCTCAAACATCGATTTTTGTTAAGTTTAGGGCGTGTCAAATTCAGTTTGATACTGTCTAGGCTTGCATAGTTAATAAGTTAAAGAGGACAATTATTTTTTGATTCGCCAACTTTTTTCAGCCACTGTGCAAGGTTGAAACTTTCTTTGTGAATGACTACGTTCATTAGTGAATGATAAATGATTTTTATTTGAGTTCATTGCCTTAAAACAGTTCACACCCGCGGAGGGATTTATAACAGATTGCAAAATTAAAAAGGCGCATGTATAGTGTGTACTGTTTATGTTCATAAATAACATAAAAAAGATTTTTTTGAATGTTCATGGATTGGATTTATCCGCTAATTGTAGACTGATTTTAAAATAATATATTTTTTTTTATCCAAAAGCCTATACTTTGAGGTGGTTCTATAAAATAAATAGAAAACGGGTCAAACGAATTGTGACGTCTAAAGAGAACAAAACCGAGAAGAATTAGATGTCTTATCCATACGATTTTTTTTATTACATTTTTTCATGTTATAATCAGTTTCTATTATTTTTAGTTACACAGATACAAAGGTTTGGTTTCACTAAAATTATTTTAATTTATCATAAATAAAGCTAATATTAAAAGCTTCAAAATAATGTTCATTACAAAGGCGATTCATAAACTTAGAAAGTTTAACTATAGTCGGGCTCTTAACATGATTTGAAATATATTAAACATACTAACAGCTAGTTGCACAAACGGACATTAACATTTTCATTAGTTTAAATCGATTTTACACATATAAATTTTACATTCATTAGAGCTTAAGTCGTCATTGAAAATTAATGGATGTTTGTGCAATTGACCGCAAATCTACGACTATCTGTCTAATCCCTTCTGGGGTAAACAGCAAGGCCTGATATATATTTCGCCTCCTTTACGTT